CAGATGGCGTCGGATCCGCCAAAGATCTTGATGCATTCGTCAGTGTCGGGGAAACCGTCCCCGTTCTTGCCCGTCGCGCCTCCTTTCTTGGCCGCCGCCTCTTTGCCGTCCCCTTCCTTCGGCCCGCCGGCTTGTCGTAGGAAATGTTTGAGGAGCTCGCACTCCTTGTAGAGGTGTTTGACAGGGTAGGCATGGTTGATGCATGGACTGTCCATGAGTTTGTTGAAGTGGTCAGGCAGTCCCTGTTGGGGCTGCTTGGCCGTGCGATCAGCCGCGGTGCTGTCCGACCGGTGCTGATCTTTTTTGTTTTTCTTGCCCCTCTTTGTGGAGGGGCCCTCATCTTGGTCCGTGCGCTTGGCCTTGTCTTTGTCCCGGCCTCCATTAAAGACCGCTCTGACTGCTTCCTCGCTGGAGGCGTGGTTAGTGGCGACGTCGAGCATGTCACGGGTGGTATGGGGCTTCAGGCATCCAAGCTTATGGATTAGGGACTCGCAGGTCGTCCCAGAGAGGAACGCGCTGATGACGTCAGCGTCGATGACATCAGGGAGGGAGTTGCATCATTGGGAGAACCTATGGATGTAGTCCCACAGGGACTCGCTGGGCTCCTGCTGGCACCTCTTGAGGTCCCTGGAGTTCCCAGGGCAGACATACGTCCCCTGGAAATTTCCGACGAAGACCCTCTTGAGGTCCGCCCAGTCGTGGATGCTGTCGTGTGGGAGGAATTCAAGCCATGCCCAAACATGTTCCCCCACACAGATGGGGAGATACTAAATGATGAAATAGTCATCATCCACCCCTCCGGCTCGACAAGCGAGCCAGAAATCTTCAAGCCAAATGCTGGGGTTTGTCTCCCCGGTGTACTTGGTGATGTTGGTGGGCGGTTGGAAGCGCTGTGGGAACGACGCTCTCTGGATACGCCGATCAATGGCCTGCGGCCCCGGACCCTCCCGCTTTACGGAGCTTTACGCCTGTTGAACGACGGCGGCTTCTACCAGAACCCGGAGGTTCCGGTAGACCTCCCGCTCCTAGGGGTCGACGGGCTCGGGAACGCCGTGCAGAAGCATCGCCGCAGCAGCAATGTTTTGGCTAGCCTGAGCGAACTGTGGGGGATCATTCCCCTCATTCACGATGTCAAGTTGGACCTAGCGGGCGCGACCCCGGGCGCCACCCGCCGGGTCATGCGCATGGGGCGCAACGTGCTGCACTGAATGCTCCGGCGCAGGCGGTGGCTGGTTCTGTCGCCGTTGTCGTAATTTCTCGGCGTGCGCTTGTGTAGACGCGAGGGCCCCCGCACGCGGGTCCAGAGGGGTGTGAGTCTGCGCAGATTCCACAACCACCAGCGGCTATCCTAGAGCGTATGCCATAGCGCACTCCCAGGACGGACGGTGGCGAGGTGCCATGTCGCTGATGCTGGAGCCGTCGCTCTCACCCTCGTCATCTGGGGGTTCGCGGAGAGCAGCGGCAGCGTAGCTCGCCATTCCCACGAATTCGGACATGAGGGGGGATGGCGCCAGCGTCCTACGAAGCCCCCGAGCGTACGTATCCATGGAGGACGCGAGGCCATAGGGGAACCGATCATACGGTGTTTGTGGCACGGGCGGTACGGTCCCTCCGGATGATCGGCGGGAGATAGTGGATAAAGAGTAAATAACAGTACGCATATTACTTACAACGGGGTTTGAGCAGAGAGTTTGCTCGGAATGAAGCGCAGATGCCATGTCGTCGAAGTCGTGCATCCCGGAGTCGATGGAGGGTGCCCCTCCAATGGGTGCCAGGACGTGAGCCTCCTCGCAGAGGTGTAGTACGCCGAGCCGGTCGGCAACGAAGTCCAGGCTTCCGAAGAGGAAGGCCTGGGATGGCTCGAAGGCGGGTGGAACCCGCATCCCAATCGGTGGGAGAGCGGGAAACTTGAGCGAGCCGAAGCGAATCGTATCGCCTGAGCCCGCCACAGCGAGGGTGGCAGAAAAGTGGGCCATCCGATGACCAAAAAGTGTTGAACGTACAACGTCTTCCCCACGGATGGGGCCAACTGTCGGTACAGAAAGTGACCAACTAGTAAATATTTGTAGTTTTGCCATACGTTGTGATCGGAGGTGGTCTAGCACTCAATGACACAGGGTTTATACTGGTTCAGGCAACGTGCCCTATGTCCAGTTTGAGTCAGTCGGTGACTTTATTCCTGAGCCTAGGTGCTCGAAAGTTTGTAGTGGGGTTACAAACGAGAAGGAGAAAGATGGGGTGTACAAGAGGTCCGGTTGGCTCTGGTCGGAAGGGCCGAGAGCGACAGGAGCTACGCTATGAGCTAAGTGTTCAAGCATGTGCTTGAGGTCCGAACCTAGCGGTTCTGTGGTTGTGAGCTAGTGAACTTGATCGATGTTGATTAACTAAAAGGACTTTGATCAACTTGTAACGATTTGAATCAACCGGGTCTATTGGGAGAGAGCGCATCCCCTTTTATAGATGAAGGGGATGGCCTTACAAGTGAGAGGGAGAGAGTACGAATGCTTCTAAGCCTTGTTGCCCACGCCGACAGGTGCAAGATAATGGTAGGCGCCCACAACAATGTTGATGTCACTGTAGAATGTCATATGCATGTGGGAGATTATGTCGTCTTGTTCGGGTATGGCAGATGTCGGTATCTGCTATACTGTTGATGCCCAGAGGCATGTGAGGGGGTTTCACCATGTTTACTCGGTATGGTTAATTCCGGCGCCCACAACACTGTGGATGCCCAGAGGCATGTGGGGGAACCTTACCGTATGGGAGTCAATGGCGCCCACAATACTGTAGGGAAAATATCGGCGCCTACAACACTGTGTGTGTCAGGGAGGTTGCAGAGTACTGTTCCTGCAGGCGTACAGAGTATGGTCCCTGGTGTCGTGGTTTGATTTGTGCGCCCTACCTTGCTTTCTCCGTTTGTTCCCTAGCCCTTTCCGAGCGTGCGTCCCCGGTCGTTTGGTCCCAGTCGGCTCTGGTTGCGCCAGTCGGAGAAGAGCGATGAGCAGGGCTTCTGCGAACCCCGGTCGAAGACGCGGGGTCAGAGTCGGAAGTAGTCCTTGGGCCAGGCCTTCCGATCAGAGAGGCTGTCGGAGGCGACTGGAGTCCGAAGTGAGCGCTCCAGTCGGAGAGGTGGGCCGAAGTAGTCGACAAGCGGGCGCTGTTCCTCCTCGGCCAGACCTTCCGGTCGGTGACTGGACCGCCCTTCTGGCCTGTTGTTTTTAGACTCTTTGGCCGGCCCATGAGTTGCGTGCTGTCTGCTTGGGCCGAGCCTGGGCGTGGAAGCTGGTCTACGAGGGACCTCGGGTTTACGAACCCGACACTACTGTAGCAACAACAGCTGCAATGCTGCAAGTAGAAGCGAACACAAGGTATACATATGAATATAAGTTATTATTTCCTCCGCGTGGTACCGCCACATAATTGCCTTATACCATCTTACTTTGTTAAGTTTCAATTTTTTTTAATCCTATTGGCTATTTCTCACGGCATTTTGTTTTTAATTAAGTTCTATCTTGTGGACTCAAGCTATCCTACTTGAGTGGGTCGGGTTTCTAGCTGCACCCTACACACAAAGAGATGAATTACCATTTGTTTGAGTTTCACAATGTTATTGATCACTTGTTTGGTGTGCGACAAGTGAGATATTCAACCATCTGCATTAATCTCTTAACAATATTTAATTGAGCGTATTTGGCATTTTGAAAATGAAGTGCAGAATTTTATTGAACTACTAAGTTATCCTAGCGAAGTCAATCAAGAATAATACTGGCATGCATGGTTGACTTCATTCGGGAGAGTGCTGTTAGTGATCAAGGATCAAGCTCCTTTGTGTGTGATCAAGATGAAAACTATTCCCTCCATTTTAAATTATAAATCGCTTTGACTTTTTTGATACATCATTTTTACTATGCATCTAGACATATATTATATAAAGGTACGTAGAAAAATGGATGTACCAAAAAAGTTAAAGCGACTTATAATTTGGAACGGATGGAGTACATGCTAATATTTGAAGCATCTTCATCTCGAGGGAGTGGCCCCAATTGTGAATTGACAGATGAAGAGGGAGAAATGAATGTGTTCCATGGTAACCTTGTCTATACTTTGGTATGAGGTGATATATTCTTTGTAGAAGAATAATGTTTGTATGGACACAACCTCAAGTTTATATGAATGATGTTTTATTTAAATTATATGAATCATTATGGATTTCCATACTCTACAAATGAGCTTCAAACATGTCAAAAAAGTGATAAACAATCTAAAATACTCCCTCAGTTCCAAATTATAAGTCATTGACCAAAGTAGTAGAGAGAATTATAAAAATTTATGACATCAAATATGTATACTATGATAATATAATTAATTAAGAATCTAATGATACTTTTTGTATCATAAAGTGTTAATATTTTATTATATAGATTTGGTCAAACTTGAGATGCTTTGACTCTCCAAGAAAGTTAGAATGACTTATAATTTAGGACTGAGCGAGTAGTTGTGACTTGTGAGGCATTACAAGCTAGTATTAACATCCACAAACAGCAATCAAACCCACCCAAAATCCAGGTGTTTGCACCGTCATCTGTATCCACAGTTGAGGTTCAAGCTTCCTTTCCACAATGTATCCACAATCCACCACCTAGCTGCTTTTCCAAATTCAGCAGGACCAATGCATGCACCACATTAACCAATTTCCCAACAAGGAATAAAATTATTGCCCTCAGAAAAGAGAAGCAGATTTCCTTTCAATTTTTGGACATACACATGCATTTGGAATTTGGAAAACAAGACAAGATGGGCCCTGATTACATTAGTGGGAGTATTTGCTGGGGCTGTTACAGTGCAATTTTCTTTCACATGATATACTTATGAAACAAATCCTCGGTAACCAAATACAACTGAGCTGCCTAATTTTACAACAGGGGTAACACTAACAGTGATGAAAACTGTATGATCAGTAGTGGGTCCTGACACGGGACTTGCAAGTAAGTTTGCTAGCATCAGGCAGGCCTCTCGCCACCATCTGGTGCAGCAGCCTTCTGTGAACTACTTTGGTCAACATCCATTGGTGCGCTTGTCCTGGGAGGTGATGGTGGTGAGACCTCAACATCGGGGTAAGCAGCCTTGTACCTTGCTCTCAACCCTTCATCAACTAGCCTTACTCCGTTTAATTGGTTACCCAGCGAAAGCCATCTGCCCAGGAGAAAAAGGTAAGTTGAAATATAATAGTATGCATCTGGTTAGAATGCGACAGAAAACTTAGCCAAGAAGAGAGGCAAGGACTAGTACACACCCAGCTTGTGTATTATGCATTCTTGCAAACAGTTCCAACTTCCTTGTCCTTGGGCTAATTCGTTCTAGCATTGCGTACATCTGCACAAGATAGATTTGAAACATCAATCCTGTTCTTAGGTTTTCAGTTTTGCCTTGGGATATATGCAATTTTGTTGGAGGAAATGCAAGCATCAAACGATGCTTTTGCAAGCAACATATAGTAGCTAAATAAAAATTTAATACCTCATCAGGTTTTCTGCTTGTTTCACGGACTTCAGCAACAATAACATCAGTATCTATATTCCTGTTCACTAAAGGGTTTCCTTTTATTCCAACAAGACAATGTTCTTTGCTGTGATTCAACCAATGGCCAGTGCGGCCAGTTCGAATGATACGTTGAAGTTGATTGGTCTTCACCCAGATAATTTCTTCAACACGCTTGTAACCCCAGAGCTCCAGACTGAAGATTAAAAAAAGAGAGAGTGAATAGATTACAGATATAACAGAGTCTAGAGGACATTGGTCTAGAAAAATATCAGAAGAGGAACTAAAAAATAAAGACATTGTGCTGGAATAAAGTGCACACCAAAGAGTAAAGGAACATTTATAAAAGTTGTAACGAATCTTGCCAATATGGCACATATCGTCTACATTAAGTAACAAGTATATGACTTTATAAAGCATGGAATCAAAACCATTCAACAGCCATTGGGATCTTGTTGGAGAAAACATATTGTTAGTTGTTACAGTAAAGCTAAAAAGAATTAAGGTTTAAAAACAGAGAACTTACCATTCACGCCCAAGTTCCATGGCACGACCAGTGACCCATAAAAAAATCAAACCATCAGTTTGCAAAGTTGGAACATTAAGCGTCCTCATTTCATCATCAGCCATTGTGCCATATGGTAGCTCCATATGAATATCCCAAGGGGGGTCAGCCATAATTACTCCAAATTGTCCTAAGATGTCCATCCTGAAGTTCCGAATGTCACAGTTTATCCATTGCGATTCTCCAAGCTCTATTTCTGAACAATATTCAGCTCTCTGGGGCTTTATCTGCCTAGGTGGTGCGAGGGCACCAGCCATCATTTGAGGTACATCTGGTGTTTGATCAAGCTCGTAGTGGACATACTTGCAAGTCTGGACATTGTACAACATATGTAAGATACATACTTGCAAGTCTGGACATTGTACAACATATGTAAGATACAAAAGTCACACAAATACATGATAGACATTATATCAAAAGAAAGAACACTATGGTCACCTTTGTGTGACGGCATGTGTCTAGGAAAGAGCAATCTCCTAGGTTTGTATCAGTATGTGGAGCTATAATACGCCGAAAGTGGACCTGCTCACAGTGAAACAGAATTACATAAAAATTAACAGTGATACCTAAAAACCATGTAAGAGGGATCCAAAAATTCAATGAATCATATGAATATAACTGAGAAAATTATATTGTGTGATATTAATAAAATGGCACATTTCTCAACAAAGTAAAACCTTATTTTTGCAGGTTATAGCAATATAGCCACATGCTGTGTGAAAATAATTTAAGTTAGGTTTGCCACAAAATATCAGTAGTTGTCTTTCCAAGTTTCTAAATCATTTGCAGATAAAAATACATAACCCATTTCTCCTGGCATTGACTTCGAGAAACAAATGGAACTGAGATTTTGTCCTTACCAGTTTGATCTCATTTAAAAAACTAGGAGGAACCACTAAAGGTAAAGGATGGTTTTGCATATTACTATAACTAAGTAAAGATTCTAGCTTTGCCATAAAAATTGTGGCTAAGCGCTTAATGTCAATGGACAAACTGATTTCTTATAAAATTGATGGCATTAATAGTGGTGTGTGCTTTTTTTTCTTCGAAAAGAAGAGAAATTATCAAAGCAGGGAAACCAAGAAGAACATTAACACTGACCTTATCACAGGCCACAAAAGAACCTGTTTGGCGTCGGCAATCTTCTTTAGTTAAGTTGGTACAATATTCCTTCAGCTGGGAGCCACCCTTTGTTTTAAACTGAAAGAAAGAAACCAAAGGTATAAAAAAATGTGATAATCAAAAAGTCAAAAGCATTACCAATAACCTGAATATAGAGTAAATCGTAGTTTTAATGTGTCGGACGCAGAGGCTACAATTTTGGGAGTTAGCAAAAGCCAGGTAATGACAATGGAAGCACCGAACACCGGAAAATAAAGTTGCCTAGTCTTTCACACAAAGCCTGTAAGCCATCATGTAGTTTACTAGTGGCGGCTCCAACAACTCAGTTAAGAACATCACAGGGTGAAGAAAGAACAAACCTTTGCAGCAACAGCAGTCTCCTTAGCTGTAGGACGGTGAATGAGATCCAGCAGCTCCTCTCCAGTCTTTGTATTCTGCTTCTCTCTATATGTCTTCTTGTTTAGCAGCAGTTCAAGGTCCTTAAGATCATCCTCCTCTGTCCTCAGCTTCAGCTGCGTGGAACTCGGCGCCGGACCACCACCCATTGGGATAACTGCCCCTGGTACCATGAATGGTCGCTGCAGCGGCATCAACCCTGGCGGCATTCTCGGCATTGCCATGCCCCTGGGACGTGGGAACATCGGTGGCATTGGGTGACCCCACATATCCAGCTGCTGCAGTGGCGGAGGCCTTGGTATGATGGCGCTGTTAGTATCAGTATCGGTGGGAGCCACCTGTGGAGTCGTCGGAGGTTGGATTTGGAGCGCAGAGGAGGATTCTGGTAGCTCTTTGAGGAGTTTGCTCCGGTCGATGGCCCAGACCATAGTCATCTGCTTGCCCCCAATGAAGGCCTCCTCGATCTGCAAGCTGCCGCTGTCTTCCGCGATGCGACGGAGCGCAAGAGCAACCGCAGCGGGCGCGGAGCCCCCAAGCTCCGCGGCGAGGTCGGCTAGAGCAGCCCGCTCGGCCTCGCTGGCGGACGACGTTTCGGACTGCAGGCGGCGCGCGAGCGCAGCGGCATCGATCTCGGCAAAGGGGACGAGCTCGAGGAGACACACGGCAACCATGGTACGCACGGCATCGATGCCACCACCGGTTCCCGCGCCCCCCGCGGCGGCGGAAGCTGGGGAGGACCCCGGCGAGGTCTTGCGGCGGGTGGAGCGGGCCGGGTCGGGGAGGGCGCGGCGGTGGTGGGGCTTGAGGCTGGGGTTCTGCACGTGGATGCTGGCGTTGGGGTACAGCGTGGGGACGAAGGGGCGGCCGTTGAAGGCGGCGATGAGGCGGAGGGATTGGTCGAGGGTGGGGACCAGGTCGGGGACGAGGTGCTGCAGGGAGCCGATGAGGTCGAGTTGCGCCTCCCGGCGGGTAGTGATGGACTCCTCCAGGGTCCGGCACTGCTCGCGCATGGTCGCGAGATCGTCGCCGCCGCCGGGGACGGCGTCGGTCTGCGCTTCCATGGTCGTAGGCGACGAGATCGACGAGGGTTTTGGATCGACCAAAGCTAGTAGCTGCGGCAAGGAATTCTGCGGCAAGTTGGGGGCCGCGAAGGAAGGGGAAGGTACACTCCGTCGGCCCACTTCTGACGTGAGCCCTAGCTCAACAATTTCTGCGGCAGCTGGGCCGCGCCCTTCTGTCTCAGATTTGAGATTATTTTTTTTTTAAAACGACGTGGCTAGCCCCCCGGAGCCCGTAGGGTCCGATGAACACGCGTGTCCAGACAACTACACAGCCCGCCCCCATCTGCCTTCGCCCCACTTTCGTCCGCCTTCGCCCCGCTCCACGGCGTACTCCGTCACGTCTCTACGCCCACCGGTCCTTCCCCTGACCCCTTCTCTCTCCGCACGGGTGGCACTTGGGAGTCGGGATGAGCAGCTGAGGACGAGCACACCCTCAGCGTGCCCCGACCGAAGCACCCCTGTCCGCCGGCCCCCAACTCACCCCCGACGCACAACATAAAACATTTGCAATATGAAAAAACATTTGAATGCAATATACGTACGGAAACAAATGAAATATTTGGCACATGCACTTACAACATGTGTGTGAAACACATGAAACATCTAAATAAAACACTGCAACTTGCAACATGAAAACACTTGCTGCAACATAAGACTGAAACAGTTGAAACATTTGGAACATACTGTTGCAACACATATGTGAAACATATGCAACATCCAGATAAAAAATGATTACAACATATGTCTGGAAACAGATGAAACATTTTGAACAAACTCTTGCAACATGACTCTGAACCACTTGCAACATGTGCAAACATCCCCCGATCTACTTTTGCAACATCAAGATGAAACAATTGCAACATACATCCGAAATGTCTGAAACACTTGAAACATATATATGCAACATAGGGGAGGGGAAGGTCGGGGCCGGTCGATTCTGGGCGTTGGGGTGGGAGCCGGCGGCGAGCCGTGGCGCGCAAGCACCACCAGCACCGGGCACGCTCGTGGGTGCCCTTGGCTCGTCCGGGGAAGACCTGAGGTGCCACGGCATGTGCTCCCCAGTGACCATGGCGGGGTCAGTGGCGCGCGCGAAGACGATGGGGGATGGACGGACGGCGAGGGAGCGAACGACGCAGGTGACTGGGACGGGGCGCGGCGCGGCCGGCGATGGGGCGCGGGCGGGGGGAAGGTCATGGTGCGACAGCCGACTAGCATGGTAGGGGAAGGGGCGTGGCAGGGCGTGCCCGAGACAGGCGGATGAGAGGATAAGCGCAGTGGATATTTTTTTTTTGAGAGAGAGCGGATGAGTGGATGAGGATGAGCTACATCCAGACAGGACGAATGCCCGTGGCCAAGCGTTATCGATTAAAAAAACTATTTGACTCACGTCACCTAATTATTGATATATTGTTATTTTACTTTCTCGGCCTTAAAATAAGTATTTTTCTCCATGTAAAGTTTTGTTCGACTACACACCTATCCATCTCAATCCCATGTATTAGGATGAAAAATTAACTAATTTTTTTCATTGCGGTCCACTCCAACACACGCGAATTGAGATGGACACGAGTGTAACCAAACATGTCCTAAATTATTTAATACAATACAAATAAGTGGTTTTTAAAATGGTTTTAAGTGGAAAAGGTGACATAGCTCAATTATATACCTAGTGTTTTAGTTTATTTTTCCATCCTGCACTGTGAAAAACAAGATATCAGTCCGACTCAACTAAAAACAAGATGTCATTTCCTCAATTTTTTAGTAGCATGCAAATCATATGTTCTCAATAATTTTGGTGTCTAAAGGCGTTATAGTTCATCAAGGATAGTGTCGGTGCAGAAAGTGACAAACACGTAAATATTTATAGTTTTGCCGTACATTGTGATCGGAGGTGACATAGCACTCAATGACACAGGGTTTATAGTGGTTCAAGCAACGTGCCCTATGTCCAGTTTGAGTCGGTCGGTGACTTTATTCCTGAGCCCAGGTGCTCGAAGTCTGCAGTGGGGTTACAAACGAGAGGGAGAAAGATGGGGTGTACGAGAGGTCCGGTCGGACTCCGATCGGAAGGGCTGAGAGCGACAGGAGCTCCGCTACGAGCTATCTGTTCAAGCGTGTGCTTGAGGTTCCAACCTGGCGGTTCTACGATTGTGGACTAGTGAATTTGATCGATCTAATAAATCTAAAGGGACTGAATTATGTTGAAGGGAGCGCATTCCCTTTTATAGATAAAGGGGTGGCTTTATAAGTAAGAGGGTAAGGGTATGTATGCTACTGAACTTTGTTGCCCATGCCGATGGGTACAAGATATTGGTAGGCGCCCACAACACTGTTGATGTCACTGTAGAATGTCAGATGCATGAGGGATGTTGCGTTGTCTTCTTCAGGTATGACAGATGTCGGTACCTACAAATACTGTTGATGGCTAGAGGCACGTAAGGAGTTTCACCACGTTCACTCGGTACAGTAAATCCCGGCGCCTACAACACTGTCGATGCTCAGAGGCATGTGGGGGGTGCCTTACCATATGGGAGTTAATGGCGCCCACAATACTGTAGGGGAAATGTCGGCGCCTACAACACTGTTTGTGCTAGGGAAGCTGTAGGTTACGGTTTCTGCAGGTGTACAGGGTATGGTCCCGGTATCATGGTTTGACTTGCGCGCCCTGCCTTGTTTTCTCCGTTCGTTCCCCGGTCCTTTCCGAGCGGGCGTCCCCGGTTGGTTGGTTCCAGTCGGCTCTGATTGTGCTAGTTGGAGAAGAACAGTGAGTAGGTGCTTAGCGTATCCCCCTGTCAGAGAGCGCGGGGTCAGAGTTGGAAGCGGTGCTTTTGGCCAGGCCTTCCGGTTGGAGAGGCCGACCGGAGGTGGGCTGGAGACCGAAGCGCGCGCTCCGGTCGAAGAGGTGGGCTGGAGTCGGTGAACAGGCACTGTTCCTCCTTGGTCTGGCCTTTCGGTCGGAGATTGGATCACTCCCCCGGCCTGTCGCTCAGGTATTTGGGCCGGCCCAAGAGTTGCGTGCTGTCTGCTTGGGCCGAGCTTTTGGGGGGAAGCCGGTCCCCGAGGGACCCTGGGTTTATAAACCCGACAGGAGCCCCCGAGCCCCTGGGCGATTCGGGTAGAATCGTCTGGGGGATTTTTGTCTTGACGGCGGGTGCACGCGAGCGCACCCACGGGTGTAGCCCTCGGGCGGTTCGGGCAGAACCGTCTGGTGGGTTTTTTCATATTGCCAGGGGGGAGGTTTTTGTTTTTGTCGGCGGGTGCGCGCGAGCGCACCAGCTGGTGTAGCCCCCGGGTGGTTCGGATAGAATCGACTGGGGGTGTTTGCCAGCGGGCGTGTTGTGCGTGTTTTTCAGTCGAGACGGAGTTTGTCAACCAAGGTGTCGTTGTGCAGCCGAGGCGGTTAGTTGTTGGGGATCGGATAAGACGGAGCTCGCGGATCCTGGCGTCGGTGCGCACCGTGGGATCTGGCGAGGCAGTTAGTTCATTAGTCTAGGGATCAGGCGAGGCGACAAGGCGGTGCTCGCAGATCCTGGCCTCGGTGCAGCCCGCGCAGCCGAGGCAGTTACTTTGTTAGTTTTAGGGATCACTTGAGGCGACAAGGCGGTGCTCGTAGATCCTGGCCCCGGTGTAGCCCACGCAGCCGAGGTAGTTAGTTTGTTAGTTTAAGGATCAGGCGAGGCGACAAGGTGGTGCTCATAGATCCTGATGGGGCGAGTTTGGGGTCACAGACCCAGGTGTTTTGTAGCGTAGTCGGAGCGTAGCCGGATGGGGCGAGTTCGGGGTCGTAGACCCAGGCGTTTTGTGTCTTGAGCCCCTGAGCCCTGGTGGGCCTTAGTAGGGGTTGGTGTGAGTTGTGTGCGTTACCCCGTCTTTGGTTCCTCACAACCGAAGGGGCTCAGTTTTGCCGCTTGTCCCGATCACTCGGGCTCGTGTGACGCGCTCGGTGAGTTCACTAACGGGTATGATCGAGCAGAATCCGGGTCCATCGTTCGTGATGAGGTCAGCATAGTCCTCTTGTGACATTCCACTGCTCCTTTACCTACAACCCGGTAGATGCCTGGGTCGTTCTGGAGACCGACCCGGGTGGCCTAACGGCCTCCCCTTGATGAAGATTCTGTGGGCTTGGCAAGAGGTTCAGGATCGAACGAGAAGGTTAAGATGACCCTGTCTGCCAGACTAGGCGAGGGCTACACGGGGCTCATCTATGTTTTTCTCCCCTGGCTCTGTTGTTGCTCATGTCGAATGAGGCAACTGCTGCTTCGTGACGCAACACGGAGCATTGTGATGCATTTCGCTGCACATGCGATGCTTAGTTCCCGAGCCCCCGGGCGGTTCAGGGCCCGAATCGTAAGGGGGGCACAGGCGTATGGAATGAAATGCACGTATGGATGTATGAAATGATTTATAAATAAATAGAGAGGGTCGGCAGTGTTACCTTGATGACTTGAGTGACGGGGTTTGGAGAGCTCCAGTAGGAAATGTCCGACCGGGACCCATGCTCGTTGTTCGTGATAGAGTCGGCATGGCCTATATGGGGCGTCCCTTTGCTCCTTACCTGTCTCTCGGTGTTTATCCTGAGCGATTCGATCGACTCAGGGGGCTCGATGGTCTCTCTCGGTGGAGATCCTGTTTTTGGGTTTTTTCTAGGTCTGGCCTGGGGAAGCGGAGAGCCGCCCGCATGCGGTGGTGCTTTGGTTCTTGTGCCCGACGTGCGGTAGTGGTGGGCCATACCCAGGCCACATCCCGTCTTACCAGGCGGCGTTCCGTCTAACCGGGCGTCATTCCATCGGTCAGTGTGCGTCCCAGTGGTCAGGGTGTGTCCCATCGTTTCCCATCCACATTGAATGGGGGAAGGGAGAGAGTTTTTCGCTCTGATCTTTTGCCCTCTTCAGCAGTCGCGTTTTCTCCTTAAATAGGGGGAGGGAGAGGGCTCTCCGTCGCGGTCCTTTGCCTGTTCTCCAACTATTGTCTCTCCTCTTTCTTCCTCCTCACTGAGAGTG